TAAAGTGACCGTTGCTCTGCTCACATCCATTTAGAGTCACTACGGGAGCTCTGGTAGCATAGTGCCTAAGGCACTTGACTGTTAACCAGAAAGCTGGTGGTTCAAACCCACCAGCCACTCTTCGGAAAGAAGATGAGGCAATCTACTTCCGTAGCGATACTGCCTCAGAAACCCAAGGAGGGATCACTATGAGTCAGTCCGACTCGACACATAACAACAACATCATAGTTTTAACTCAGAGAACACTGGTTTTTCCAAGAATTGAGGTTCTCCAATCATGGAAGAAAGAAGGGCTGGTTATGCACAGGGAGACAGCTCAGGGGGCAGGAGTGCATGGAGGGATGGACACAGGGAAGAGGTAACTATCGGGAGGAAGTGGGAGGAGAGCTGTTGCATTGGGGTAAATTGTAGTCAATATCATGAGACAAAGTGTATGTGAACTGCTGTATGGAAAGTAAAGTTGCTCTGTAAATTTTCACTCAAATCACAATAAAAAAAAAAAAGAATTGGGGTTCTCCTATCATACCTCTTATACCTTCAGCATGGATTTTCAAAATTCACCCCAAAGAGGACATATGCAGTCATGAGACAAAATGTATATGAACTGCTCCTGTATGGAAAGTGAATTTGCTCTGTAAACTTTCACCCAACTCACAATAAAAATTAAAAAAAAAAAAAAAAAAAAAGATGACATATGCAAGTATTTTCCAACTAGTCAGTTATACATGAGGCTTCATTTCTATTTCCAGTAATGGCTGCTGGTTTGACTGAGGTGCTTGCTTTTAAAAGTGTTTGAAACCTCAATAATTCACCATAAAATGGAAATTTCTGTATTATAGGGACAGCCACCCCAGTGAGGACAGCTGCTGAATGCAGACTGATCCTTTGAGCAGAAATGTCACAGCAGGGTCAAGGATACCTAGTAGATTCTCATACTCAGTCCTTCCCACTTTACAGGAAATAAAATGCTGGGAGGAAATTTGTGCTGACTCCTGGGGTAGGATCCTACCCAACCACACCCCACAAAGATGGTTTGCCTAAAGACAGCCCTCTTATGGTACAGAGCCATTGTGGCAGTTAGCCAGGCACGAGACCTGGTAGCTGATTTTCTATTAATGCCTACTATTTACAAGTAGCATAGTGCCTAAGGCACTTGACTGCTAACCAGAAGGCTGGCAGTTCAAACCCACCAGCCACTCCTCAGAAGCAAGATGGGGCAATCTACTTCCGAAGTGATACTGCCTGGGAAACCCAAAGAGGGGTCGCTATGAGTCAGGTCCGACTCAACGGCAGTGAGTTTGGTTTGGTTTGGACCACAGGTAAAGACACTGAGATCAGGAGAATGTAAGTGAAGCGAGGAGACAGTTTTTCGCATTTGCATTAGAGAACTTGTTTTTGAAAAATATTCTAGTAATTTTCTTCAGTGACAATAATAAGTACAGAAAGAGGAAAAGTGATTGTATTCAAAATACATTTTTTTCTTCCTTCTAATCATTGCTGGGATTGAAGGGAACCTATTTAACATCCCCTACATCTTCACACCATGGGCACAGGCAATAAATGTCGCCATACAACTAGACGAAGACACATGAAGATTGCTTCTGTATTGGGCCAGGGGGGAAGCCCCATCTTGGGACAAGCTTATGTAATGAAGCAAAAACTTTGAGTACTTCTGGGAGCCATGCATAGTGCTTGTAAATTCAAAACTGAGTAAAAAAATGTAAACCCTTTCCTCAAAAACAGGAGTCTGGTAGCTGGAGTAAGAAAATAATGTGATAGAAGATAAATTACACAGGAAAAAAGTTGTGACGTGCAGAAGGAGAAGAAATTGCTGCTGCTGCTACTGCTGCTGGTAAAGGATCAGGAAATTGTCTGGAAGTAGGAACGTGTTCCAGGGAAAGGTCCAACATAAACATAACTTTGCTTTGGCCATGTACAGTGCAGTGAATTACTTAATGTGGCCCTTCTAGCCATAGTCTGAACCCTCATGGCACAGTGGTTAAGTGTTCAAGTGTTAACCGAAAGGTCAGCAGTTCAAACCCAGCAACAAAGATGTGGCAGTCTGCTTGTTAGGATTCGTTGTTGTTGTTATGTGCCGTCGAGTTGGACCCAACTTATAGTGACCCCTCCTTGGGTTTCCGAGGCAGTATCACTATGGAAGTAGATTGCCCCATCTTCCTTCCTAGGAGTGGCCTTGGAAATCCTATGGGGCAATTCTACTGTCCTTTTGGGTCACTATGAGTTGGAATGACTTGATGGCAATAGGTTTGGGTTTTAGCCATAGTCTTTATAACTCCCACTAAATGACTAGGTGGTGGTGGTAGGTCCCATCGAGTTGATTCCGACTTACAGTGATCACAACAGAATGAAATACTGTCCAGTCCTGCAACATCCTCACAATCATTAGGTGGGTCTATGCAAATGAGGCGCTTGTGACCCACCAAGTGGATTAGATAGCTTGCCAGGTCCTCTAAATAAGGTGCATGGCATCCTTGTGGGAGTGGGACCATGAAAATAAGGCGTATTGGATCCTAACGAGGGGATTGGCCACCTTTGCTATCCCACTAGGCTTAAAGGGAGACATGGAGAGAGAGGAGCTGTAACACTAAAGACAGCAAGAGCTGGCAATACAGCAGTAGCAAGAGCAATAGCAGTATGAGACGGCTGCAGTGGGGCTTGCTGACCTACGAAGCTAAGAGGTTTAACACCTGCCTGAGAAGGCCCAGCGGCAGAGGGCAAGAAGTCGCTGTCTTAATTAAAAACTGTATTCTGAGTTGTTCCTGTTACTTCTAAGTTAATCCTTAGTTATATCCTGCTACTTCGCTAATAAATCCCATAATGGTGAGTATGGTCTGTGAGTTCTGTATGTCATCACAACAAATTATTGAGCCCAGCATAGGAGTAGAGTGTTGTGGGAGGGATGGTTGGTATCAGAATAAAAAAGGTTGGAGAGGAGGTATGTCTGACCTTCACCTCACAGGAGTTAGCCTGGGTCTGATGCTGCTGATGGTGATTGTCCCCCCTTATGAAGTTAGAGGAGATAAGACACCTCTGCCATGTCATTTTTAGGATGCATTGGAGAGCAGGGAGGGAGGAAGTCATAAGAGGCCAGGTAGGTGGTGGCCTGACAGGAGAAGGCACCCGTGGAAGAAACACAATGTTTCTGTTGGCCTGAGAGGAAGGAGCCCAATAGGGCTTCCACATATAGGGTAAAATGGGGAAGTCAGGGCACCCGAAAGCAAGGAGGGCAGGGGAAAAGGAAGGGCTTAGGTTTGTCTTTTACAGCTTGACTCTAATTGCTACAGGGCCTTCCACAGACTGGAGGAAGAATACTCATGGAATGTCTCACTTTTGAACTAGAGAAGAAAGGAGGATTTCATATTCTACCAACCTCAGAAATGTACTATGGTTTGACAAATTAGTATACAGTCTTCAGTTCTCAATACAATGATATACTTAACTATCTTGTTAGGGTTTCAGAACTCATTAAAGAGCCTTAAAAATGGGCTAACACCCCTTATGATGCCTGAAGCCTTCAATTAAACTCATGTGAGAACTGCAATCCTGTCAGAGGTGCCAGTTCTGTAGCACCAATCAGCTGGTTGACTGAGTTTCGTGGAAAAATTTCCCACTCTCCTGAAGGAGTCTACGGCAGCCCCCAAGGCCCAAGTCAGTGAGGCTGTGGGCCCAGTGGCTGGAACTCCACTCCCACTCCAGTCAAAAAGCCATTCTTGAGAAGGGGGCCCAAGTGGTATGGACTCCACTCCTGAGGCACTCTCACAGGCACCATACCAACCCACCCCTCCCTAGGCCAGAGTTTGGCATGCGGAGAGGAAGACCTAGCTTCAATGCAGGACACAAGGCCCTTGTTCCCCAGGCAGTCTGGCAGGCTGAGCTTTGGTGTCAGGGCAGGATGCCAGGTAGGGGAGAACCCTGGGGCCTCAGCCTCTTCCTACTCGAAGGTGCGGGAATGCTGTCAGGAGGTGTGTGTGGGGTGGGGCAGGGCATGCAGCCACACTGGCCAGTGCTGGAGAGACTGTTCCTGGGGCTGAGGACAGAGGTCAGGGGGTGTTAGTGAGGACAAAGGAAAGCCAGAGAGCCATCTCCATCCCTATGAAAGAAGGAATGAAGGGCAAAGAAAAACTTGGCCTTTGGGCCAACAGTCAGTGTCTTGGCTCCAGGCCTGTCCCTCCCCTGTGGCTCCAGTAGGGGGCACTGCAGTCCCTTTGAGGCCCAAAAGACTACCTCCTCTGGGACCTAGGCCGAGTCCTGGCAGAGGCCCAGCCAGGTCATGCTCATCCCCTCAGACTCAGGCTGCCAGTCCTCTACCTTCAGGGCATGAAGCCCTGGCTAGAGGACACAGAGAGCCATGAAAGGAAAAAAAAAAGAGTTTATTTGATCACAGAGCCTTTGAAGGCACCTGGTTTCTGTCAAGTATATATATATATATATATATATATTTATATATAAAAAGGCAATATAATAGCAATTTGTACAGGGTGCATGATAGGTAGGAACAAGGCGTGGTGAGCAGGGAGGAGATACAGAGATACATGGGATACAAAGTACATGGGGAGAAGGAAAGAAGAGGAAATAATCAGACCAGACCATGTAACAGTCAGTCCTGGTTCCTAGTCACCTCTGGTACTAGGACAGGGAGACAAACACACACACATATAGATACAATAAACTCACTCACTCACCTGAGCCCATGAGCCTCTGCGATCCTGGTGAAGCAGGGGGCTGACAGAGCCAAGTGCGGGGGAGGCTTGGGCAGATGCAGAGAGTGTGCTCTATTCCTTGCCTTTGACCCCCAGGCCCCCAGTAGTTCCCAGTGTCCACCTACAGGGGCTTCCTCCCCTGGGCCACCTGGGCCCAGCACAGGCAGTGAGACAGCAGAGGTCAGCCAGAAGAGAAAGCCTCCAGCCACCCCTGCCCATCCCTGGAAGAAGGAAGGTGGCTACAGGCAGGCAGGTGGTGCAGCTTCTGTCCAACCATGGTCACACAATTGCTCGGAACAGGAAGGAGAAGACAGCTCCTAGGGCCAGTCCCAGACACAGAAAGAAGGCCATGATGGCTCCCGCAGTCTCTGCCTCAGCTGGCTTCACTTTCCTGAGGGATAGAGGGCAAGGCCACCTTAGGACAGCTTCCTGTCATAGCTAGGCAGGGGGTGCAAGACTTGCCTGAGTACCTAATTCAGCTGACTAATCCACCCTATATCCCTAATTCAGACCTAGCTTTTCCCTCCTCTGTGAGGATACATACTAGGGGCTGTCTTCCACCTCATTCTGATAGCTCCCCTCCCACATCCCCACCTAAGCCTGAGCACCCTACCCTCACCATCACCTCCCCCTCAGCCTCTTAGTCTCCCCAGGGGGTCTCCCATCTCAGCCTGAGAACACTAAGTTCCAGGATCAGAGTCTCCTCTGTGTGTGTGTCTGTGTGGGGTAGGGTGGGGTTCTTTTCTGCATGACCACCATGAAATCAATCTCCCTCTATGGAGAGAGGAGGGAGGCCTCTCTCCCTCTATGGAGTGCCTACCACTGGAGTTCTGCATCCTGCCTGATGCTACTACCAGGTCCCCACCCAGCCCCACTCACCTGGGCCCGAAGGACATACAGAGGCTGGCAAGGTAGCCATTGGAGAAGGCGAAGGCAGCCATGAAGAAGATGAACCAGGCATCGTGCTCAAAGACCACCGGCAGGTATTTGCGGGGCTGCACGTTGCACAGTAGCAGCAAGGGCACGAACACCAGCCGGGCCACCACCAAGCTTGGCAGCCAGCGGCTGTCCTTCCCAGGCTGCAGGGACCAGGACAGTGCCTTAGCCTAGACCTGCCCCTGGGTACACCTAGGCCCTCAGAGCTCTGTCTGGGGACTCTCAGGATCTGAATGGAAACCTCCAAGATTGGGAGAGGGCACAGTGGGCCTTCTGAGGCTGCTGGCAATGTTCTGTATCTTGATCTGGATGGTGATTACACAGGCTTGTGTGTGCATACATAGCTGTACACTTAAGATTTGTCTGCCTTACTATATATAAAGTACACCTCAGTTTAAAAAATAAAAGGCAAAGTCCCCTACTACCCCATACCTTCCTGGGTTCCCTTTCTGGGTCTCAAGGCTGGACTCCTCCCTCCCACACAGGTCTGGAATTTCCTCACTCCACTTACCCACATGAATATGGCTGTGAGACTCCGGCCCAGCCAGTCAAAGATATTGAAAGTCAAGAAACAGGACACAGGAATGAAGTAGTTTACTGGAAGAGTCACTGTGGGTTAGAGGGTAATTATCAAGCTCTGACCCTCACTGGACCTCAGGTTCTCCAACTATAATATGGGGAAGATGCTTCCAGCCCAGGAGTGTCTAGCTGGGGGGATGGCAGCCCAGGCTCCCTCTCTTCCCCAATCCCAGTCCCGCTCTAGCCCCTGTTGCCATCCTGGAAACCCACGGTGTCCTCACCCCAGGCATTGGTGCCCGCGATGCTAGGCTTGACCTCAGCAGCCACAGCAGGAAATAACCCAATGGTGATAGTGAAGACAAAACAGACGGAGAAAGCCAGGACTGAGATCTGAAGAGAAGGGGCAGGGAATTCACCAAGGTCTGAGATTTCATGGTGGTATGCAGAAAAGAACCCCACCCTACCCCAACACAGACACACACACACACACGTGCGTATCCAAGTCTCAGGTCAGAAAGGGAGGAGTTGGATGGGGGTGGAGGATGAAGGCAAAGGAAGGAGAGGAAGAGGCTGAGAAGGAGAGGGTAGGATACCCAGGCCCCACATACATTTTTGAGGATGGCTTTGATAGAGGGGCTAGTGGAGGTGGGCTGACAGTTGGGTGTTGAGATCCCGGGCTCCTCTTTGCCTGCTTTTGGCACCTCTCCTGGGGGGTGAGAGATTGTAAAGAGATCTTTAAATCATGGGGAGATGAGATAAATGTTCCCCCAAGATGGCAGGGACTGGTTGGGAATACACACTCCCTTAACTAGTCCACAGTCCCACCCTAATGTCCAACCCAGACCTCCCTTCCAGCTGCCACAGCTTGAGTCCCTTAGGTCCTGAGCTTTCTTGGAAGCCTCAGGTCATGCTACTTTCCTAAGAACCAAGGATCTCCCCATTTTATCTTTTCCTATTGTCCCCACCCCCACACCAAGTTCCTCTGTCCTCTACTAGCTCATTGCTGCCTGCAAATACAGGATACTCATTCTTGTCATCTTTGGTCATGCTGTCCCCTGCCTGGCATGCCGTGTCCACCCTAGCTTCCCCAGGCTATTCAAACCTTTACTAATGAGGTCCAACTTGGTCTCCTGCTCCCTAGACCCTTCAAGCTTGAGCTGCTGGTAGTAGCGGTAGAATTCCTATCAATAAGGAGAGCCAGGGGAGGTAGAGTCAGAGGTGGGATCTCCTGAATTCCCACCTCCCCCAAATTTTAACTTCAGAACATCCTTGGTCTGGAGCCCTGGACTCCACACACCCCAAGCCCCAGCTCCTGCATTGCTCACCAGCCGAGGCAGGCTCAGGTAGCAGATGATGGTCACAACGATGACCACACAGGCTGTGATAAAGTAACCAAAGGCACTTTCTGACAGCTCTGAGCCACCTGAGGGGGGGGTGTCAGTGATCAGAGACAGTTCCCACTCCCTTCTCCCTACAAAAACCAGGCAATAGGCAGGTGGGCAGCAGAGCTTACTGGCAATGGTGCAGATCATGGCCACTGAGGTGAAGAAGCCTGCCAGACCCTGGCCGCTCATGATGGGGGCTGTGTAGCTGATGGGCAATAGGCCAACCAGACCAAACAAGCTGCCCTGGAGGATGGCACCAAACGCTGGAGGAACAGGGGAGGTATCAGTTGTGGAGGGCAGGACTTACATCCACTAGGGCTGGTGTTAACAGGACATGAGAAAACCAAACTAGTTGCTGTCAATTCCAACTCATAGTGACTCATGTGTGTCAGATGGCAACTGTACTCCATAGGGTTTTCCATGTCTGATTGTTAGGAAGTAGATCACCAGGCCTTTCTTCTGAAGTGCCTGAGTAGACTTGAATCTCTAACCTTTAGTTAGCAGCCAAGTGCATTAACTGTTTGCACCACCCAGGGACACACATGGGGTTTGCCATGAATCTGAGTCAACTCAACAGCAACTGGTTGGTTACGGGGAAACAAGTCCCTGTAGTTCCTGCTTTCTGAATCCTGACATTGAGCTGCCCTTCTCTCTGATCCCATTCCCAAAGCTGGTCCATGCCTGTTCAGGCCTCTGACTCCAAACTACCCATGGCACCTGTTCTTTCCTGGGAGAAGAATGGGGCTCCTCTCAGACCTTGAGTCTGAAAGAATGGTGGCAGTATATGTGGAAGACTCTGCCCTGCAGGCGCCCCTCTCAGCCCCAACTTACAATTAATAAGCATGATCTTGATCATGGTGATGATGAAGAAGGGCAGAGCATCCATTTGTACCTTCACCAGGATGGCAGTGATCAAGAACACCAACAGGATGGCCACCAGGTTGCCCAGGATCCGTACAGACTGGGGGATCCTAAGGGGAAGGGCCACAGGGGGCAGAGAAGGACAGTCAAACTAGACCCTCAGTCCAGGGAATGCAGGAGGCAGCAAGGGGTCAGGCGGGCAGTGCAAAGGAGGGGTCCTCACCTCTGATGCAGGAAGGAGTTGAGGCAGGTGAAGAACAGCAGTGGCAGCATGGCACACAGGGTCATGACGTTGTTGAAAATGGCACTGAGGGAACTTCGCTCGGGAGAGGATGCTGCGGGGGTGGCTGTGGCCTGGATGTCCTTGTTCAGTTTAGCAGTGACCAAGGACATATTCTGGGAGTTGTCCAAGCGGTTTGTGAAATACTGTGGGGGTTGTGGAGAGGAGTGCTAGAACCTCTGTCCTTGGGCCTGTGGGTACAGATGCATGCCCTGCATGCTCAGTACCATGCCCCCTCATGCCCTGTGTCCCCAGCCTCACCATTGTGGCCGTTATGAAAAAGTTCCAGGGGAGCAGTGTCCCTAGACCCAGCATGAAGAAGATAAGCCAGACAGCTTTGTACCTGGACATGGGAGAGGAAAGGGGGCCAGAGTGATTTCCCATCCCTGCCCTCCTTCCCTAGAGCAAACCTGGGGAAAGCCCTCCCTTCCGACCTTCAGTGTCTCCAGCTGTCCCTCTGACCAGGACAAAAGGCTGGGGCTGGAAAACTCTTGTGTTTATGTCCATATGCTCATGTCCCCTTATAAGTGTGTTTGTTGGGAGGGAAGAGGGATGGTGTGGGAAGAAGGCCAGGGACACATAGCTGTATGGCATGGCTGACAGGACCTTAGTTCTCATCTTTGGAAGACTTGGCTAGGACCCACCATGACCCTACATCCGGGGTTGGTTTTGGAAGTCCTGCTGAAGGACTGGGGGTGGGTGGGTGAGTAAGAAAGCAAACAGCAAGTGTCTCTTTCACCCCACCAGGGAGGCTGGAAATGATTATGGTGTTTGGGCAGGGACTCTGTGGTTCCCCAAAGAGGATTTTGAGGTCAGGAGACTCCTAGTCCATTCTGGACCTAGTGAGGCAGGCAGGCGGGTGCCTCAGGGCAGCTGGAAAATGAGGGAGCTATTTATTCCTGGCCCAGACAGAACCAACTTTGTAGGTCATACCACCTACAACAGGCCAGGAGGTGTCCGGGATCAGGATGCCATCTGGGCCTCACAGTGTAAATAAGGGCCTTCCTAGCTTTGGCCAGGGTACTGTCCCATGTCTGGGGCAGGACTTGTCTGCAAGCTTAGTGGCCCAGGTCCCTCCCTATGTGATCCTCAGATATGCCTACTGTACCCTACCCCTGCTTTCTCCAAAGATGGCCCAGGGCTGAGAGGGAACAGGTCTGGCTAGAGCAAAGGGGCCTGGACCACAAGCAGGCCTCACGCAGGGAGGGCCTGGGCGAGTACTCAAGTGGGCAGGTCTGAGCCATTGCAATTGCTGCTCCCCAAATTCCCTCAGATAATTCCTACCTTGGGCCTGGTTCATAAACCCAGAAAAGAAGAAGAAACTCCTAGCAAAGGTCACACAGGCCAGAGGGTCAGAATGGGGCTGGGAAAAGAGTGAGTGCATCAAGGTGGATGGAGACAGGAGGAAAGGAAAATGTGGTTCAAAAACTCAAAATCATAAAAAGAAAGAAAGCAAGAAAGAAAAGACCAGGTTTGCTGGTCTGATAGAGCTTGGTGAGACCCCTGAGACTATGGTCCTAGTCACCCTTCAGGTCTGGACCTGAACTCACTCCTGTGGCTTCCAACCAAACAACAGACAGGCTTATGGGGTGAACATTTTATCAGGTAGATACACTCCTTGGAGTGATCAATATGGGAGAACAGAAGGGCAGTGTTTGTACAAGGAGACAGCTGGGTGGGGGGCAGGTGGGAGCGCATGTCAGGGAAGGACACAGGAAAGAGGTTAACTATGCAGAGGAAGTGGGAAGAGAGCTGTTACACTGTGGAGAATGGCAGTCAGTGTCATGAAACAAAATGTGTTTGAACTGCTATATGAAAAATGAATTTGCTCTGTAAACTTTCCCCAAATCACAATAAAATTTTTTAAAAAAGAAAAATGTGGTTCAGGGGACTGCTTGCTATAGGAACACTGGGGACAGGTAGCCCAGGAGTGAAGGAGAGGAGGGACCTAAGAAGCGCCATGTACTTACTTATGTCTCAAGTCCTCTCCCCTTCAAACAAGCTACTGTGAAGTAACTATTCTTACCCATCTTTTACAAATGAAACTAAGTGCTCAAGGTCTCACAGCCAGAAGTGGCCTTATTCTGTGGCCTCTGGCACAAGAAGGAGACAGCGTAGGCAGGGGAGCTGTGATGGGGTCAGGCATCTGAGCTAGAGGGAAGGACAGAACTTTGCACTTGGAAAGCATTTCAGATCCCAAACATCGCTTCCCAACTTTCTTAGGCCCTTGACTCCTTGGAGAACTAGAAGCAAATTCCAGCCTCTCCCCAAAAACATACTTGCAGATCTAATTTGAAGGAGCTCACAGGTTCCTGAGGCAGGAGAGGGAAGACAGTGAGAATAAGCTCACATCAAGGGCTGGGTGGGACAGGGTCATCTGAGGTAGAGGTGCTAGGCAGCCCTGAGGGAGAGGGCAGATCTGCCAGATGTGCTTGGGAATGATGGGAGCTGCCAAATGTCTCCCACACTTGGTGGCAGGAGGAACTGGAAGCTGCTGACTGGCTAGAGAACAGTGAAAACACTAACTGGCAAGGGAAGGACTGCCGCCCACCCACCCTGACCCTCCCCAGACACCCAGCCAATATACATACAGCCCCCACCCCGACCCAGACCTGACTCACAGCTACCTGGCCAGAAGGCCAGCCACCAGTGGCAACCCTAGACTCCAAAGGGCACTGTACCCATCACCCTGGAGAACCATTTCCCCACCACCACCACCCTTCCCAGCCCAGGTCCCCTGAGTACCTGTCCTGAGGCTGGTGACTGGTTGTCATGGTGATAGCAGACCTGGTGCTGCCTGGCCGAGCACTCCCTCCCTCTGAGGCTTGCTGGAGGAAGAAGCAGTGAGAGGCTCTGTCTTGGCCCTGTTCCTCACAGGCCTCCGGACTTCAGATGGGAGGCAGGGCAGGCAGGAGACAGAATGCAGCGGGACCCCTCAGATCCTGCCCCTTGGGCTGCTCCACGTGGGCACTCTGCTCCCTGACCCCCAGCTGCTTGTCCTAGTGGGGCTCTGCTGCTCTGGCTCTATCTACCTGGCTCCTGGCCTGGCCAATGCCATCGCTATTTTTATCCAGCAGCTGCAGCCATTTGTAAGCTGGGAAACAGGAGGGTGGAGGGCAGAAGGGGGAGACGGATTGAGAGGGAGGGAAACACAGTCAAAGAAGGCAGGGAAGAGGATGAGGGGTCAGGGACAGTGACGACAGCAAAAGGAGGTAAACAGAGTGAAGCAGATAGAGTAAAGAAGACAAGCAGGACAGGAGGGAGTGTGCCGAGCAAATAGACCTACAGAGGAGCACTGGCACAAGCAGATGAAGACTGAGAGACCTAGTTAGAGAGGCCTCCCAGTCCTTCCATGCAGTCGCTCCCTGGGGAGCCCTGGGTCCATGGCTAAGGTGGGTTTTGAAGAGCCACTCCCCTGTTGGAGGCATCTGGCCCTCAGGCCTGTCAGTGGCACCTGAACCTTCCTTTCCAACTACTGCACAACAGCATCCTAGTTCCAGAACAGTTTTCCAGGAAAATATTTCATATTGGGTGTGGGGACCAAGCCCTTTCCATAATCTAGCCTGGCCCCTCCCAAATTCCCCAGCCCTGCCTCCAGGGTCACCCCTCCCCCCTCAGTTCCTCTCTGACTCAATCCCAGGCCCTTGTCTTCTTCCCTTTTCTGAGAAGGGCCTTGAAGGGAAGACTGCAGGAGTGGGGGGCACAAGCCTGACTAACAGCCGAGTCCCAAAGCTCCCAGCCTCCCTCTTCAGTGTCCCTCTCTTGTCCCTGCTTGCAGGGGGAGGCACCAGCAGATTAAACAGCTTTCCCATTGGATGGCATGGTAGGCCTGGTGGGCCTGTGCTGGTGCATTCCCCAAGTGCCAGCCTAGCTCTGGGGCCAAGTTATGCTCTTTAGGGTGTGAGGACAGGCTTTCCTGCCCTCCCCAGCCTGGCTAAGAACTCACCAGATACTTGTCAGCAGGATTGGAGCAGAGGGAGCCTGGGTAGGCCCCAGGAAGTGGTCCTAACTCAGGCTGAGGCTGCAGGTCTTGTCCGTGGGCTCCTGGGTGAGGGTCCAAAATGAAGAAGGTAGCACATGGCACATTAGGAGAGAACTCCTCAGGCCTCTCTGAGGGGGGGGAGCAGCAACATTCTGAGAAGGCTCACACACCAGGGAGATAAAAACCACCCCTGTTGCTTGTTAGATAAAAGATAAGGATGCTCAACAGGGGAGCTGCAGGGGGTGGGTAAAAGCCCAGGTGTCCCCTGAGACAAAGAGACTTTGTCTGAGATCTTCAAGGGGCTTTCCCACCCTCAACCCCTTTCTAGGCAAACTCCAGCCCTCCAAAGGCCTTCTTCAGTCTCCTAACCCACACCAGGAGGGGCAGGAAGGGGGGCACAGACCCACACACCTCCTGAGGGAGGCAGAGGGCTTCCTTCATTCATCACCCTTTCAACTGTTTACTGAGAACTTCTGCATGCCAGCCAGGCACTGGGGACAGAGTGGTGAATTACAGTATGTACATATTCTAGAGAGCTGGGGGCAAGAGGGCTCTGGTGTGTGTGTGTGTGTGTGTGTGTGCTGGAAAAGGCTCAGATATCAGAGTTCCTATTAGGTAGCAGGGAGGGGAACCCCCAGCTTCTCATCTCAGCATACCTGGTTCATCATCTCCTCAACCCCTCCCTTCTCCCTGGCCCCCAGGTAGGGTTCCTGAATTAAGAGCAGGGGTAGTTTCAAAACAGATGGGAGACTAGTGTAGAGTATCTCCCCTTCTCTCTCAGTAAAATCCAGCTTAGACTCAGAGAAGTATTTACTTCTGACCTCTCTCTGGCTCCTGTACCCCTGCTGTTTTCAGCAGTCCCCATCCTAGTCTTGGGCACAATTTAATTCCATAGACAGCTCGTTTCAACTCCACAGACAGCTCCTCCCCTCTCCCCTGATATTCAGTAGACCAGCCAAGGCATTTTGTTTTTGTCTGCCTTTGTACAGCAGATAAGACATAACCAGGGATATACATCTCAGAGCATCTGGTGTTCTCCAGCCATGCCTTAGTCTGCTGAAATATGGCTCTGGAAGTAGCCACTAAACTGGGCTCGTCCCACCTCCCAGCCCTTCAACCCGCCTCATGCACCTCGGCTTCTGGAAACACCCTTACAGTAGCATCAAACTCTCCACTCACCAGGATCCCATAACTCAAAAACCCACTGCCATTGAGTTGATTCAGACACATAGAGACCCTATGAAAAACTAAAAACCAAACTCACTGCCATCGAGTTAATTCCGACTCATACTGACCCCTATTGGGTTTCCAAGGCTGTAAATCTCTATGGAAGCAGACTGTCCCCTCTTTGTTCTCTGGAGCTGCTGTTGGGTTCCAACCACTGAACTTTGGTTAGTAGCAAAATGCCTTAACCACTACACCACCAGAGATCTTTATAGGGACTCTATAGGACAGTAGAACCGCCTCTTTGGGTTTCCAAGGTTGTAAATCTTTACTGGAAGCAGATGGCCTCATCTTTCTCCCAAGGAGTGGCTAATGGGTTCAAACTACCGACCTTTTGTTTAGCAGCCCAATGCTTTAACCACAGTGCCACCAGAGCTCCTTCGATCCCAAAGGGGATAGAACTACAGATCCTCCTCTTCCCTCACAACTACCCATCAACTAGTACTACATTGTCTCCATTGAACAGAGGCAGCTGAGATTCAGAGAGGTTGAGTCACTTGTCTAAGGTCACACACCAAATGAGGGCAGTTTATTCTAGGCTGCTTCTAGAGTGGTGAGGGAGGTATAAAGCCTGTTTCCTGGCTATCCCAGTTATTGGGAGGGAGGAGAATTCCGCTCCAACTGAGGGAGAAAAAATATGGTGGGGGTCAAGGTTGTCACCAGCCTGACATTAGTGTCACTTGTAAGGCATCTCCATTCCCCCATTACACACACACACACATACACACTCACCCCCCCCCTCCCGTGGGGCAGGCAGGATGGTAAAGAGGACAAACAGAAGGCCTGGAGATTACCGTTACCAAGAGGAGTGGACAAAGGGGTGGCCATGGGGTTGTGTAGAGGCCCCGACAAGTTTGAGGGGCAGGGATGGGACCAGCCTTGCCCACTGCTTCTTTCCCCCGGGAGGAAATCCCGGGATGTGTCCTTGTCCTGTGAATTAAGGAAAGGTTCTCTCTCTGGGAGTAAATGAGGACGCGCCCACAGAGAGGAGACCCAGGGACAAGAGTTCGGCTAGAAAAAGGTGAGGGTTTTTTAAGATAGCTCTCCGACCTCCATTCCGCGTCCTCCCCTTCCCCCCACCTGACCCCCCAACGCAGCCAGCGGCACGGCCCCTCCCCTCCACCAACAACAAATCGATGGCGACTAACCAACCACTCGCCTACCCCTGGCGGAGGTCAGCGCTGCGAACGGGGTTTAGGCCCGGTGGCCAGGCCACCCACACGTCGCTCGGGTCCCCTTCCCTGCACGGTTCCCCCGAGCCCCGGCCCGTCCGCGCCACGTGCTGCGCAGCTCCGCACGCTCCGCACCAGGAAGCAGGGCCCCCACCCAGGGTGTCCCAGCCGCGTAGCTGTCAGGCCCGGCCTCCCTTCCTCGTGGCTTCCCTCCTGCCTTCTGCCGCGGCAGTCCCAGGCTCCCGAGCCCGCAGCACCTGCTTGAGAGAGGGTCCTCCCGCGCTGAGGTCCGCGCGCTCTCTGGCGGCTTCCCGCGCCCGCTGGAGCATTCACCCGCCCTCCGCTGGGCCCGCCCCCGGCCCGCCCCCGGCCCGCCCCCGGGCCCCCCTCCAGCCCCCTGCAGCTCCACTCGCCCGGGACTGCTCTTGCCACCCCAACAGCGGTTCCTGACGCTCGAGGACCCCACCCTGGAGACTTTGCGCCCTTCAAGACCATCCGGTCCATACCTCGCCTTCTTATTTGCCATATTTGCCCCAAATGTGGCCTTTTGGGACCCTGCCACACCAACCCTCCTCCATCAAGGGGGCACCTCTGGAGAGTACTGCCTCCCCCTGTCTAGTCACTAGTCTTCCCCGCTGGGAGTATACCAAACTAGAGAACCAGTCTTTGGTTCACCCATGACAAATCCTTGGCTCAGACAAGTCCGGACGTCCCACTCCATCCCAGATGTTCCGTTATCCTCTCCAAATCCTGCTCAGGCTACTTTTTCTCCACAATGCACGTTTTTTCTTTCCAGACTCCCCTTTTCAGTGCCACCTTCTTCCTTTCAGACTTTTCCTCCTCTTCCTACAGGCTTGCTTCTGCCCCCTTCTCCCTGGCCGGATCCCTTCAATTTAGGACTACCTGTTGTTCTATGACGTGCATGGTGTGTCTGTCCTTTCACCTCTAACACATACAGACACAAATACCCACCACTCACCATTTTAACATGGAAGGGGATGTATGATGCTATATGTGTGTGTGGGGGTGGGGGCAGGTAGAGACACAGCCCTGAGTCCCCTCATGATTCACTCTTTCTAAATTCAGAACTTAGGAAAATTGAGGCACAGCTGGGAATGTGAAGAGAAGACAGGAACAGCCTTACATCCTGAAGTGAATCCTATTGTCCTTGAGAAAGTGGAAGCCTTGCTGAGCCCCACACCCTCTACTGGCTGAGAAGGAAGAGGTGGGCATGCCCAGGAGGTGGACGATCAGTTCCATCAAGTACCTCCAAAGGAGGGGAAAGGATTCCTTCTCTTTTTTTGTTGGGCAGTAAATCGGGGCACCAAGTGTATGGGGGCCCTACATCATCCTCAGTGCCAAAAGATGATCCAAAGCTAGAGAGGTCCTCAGAAGAGAAAATCCAATCCTGTCCCCTTCTGCACCAAAGCTACCCAAGGCACCA